CTTTGAGTGGTTTTGGGGGTTATTGAAGATGCTGAGTCCATTTCTGACATTATCAGGATACAAAAATTGCAGTGGCCATATTTATACTTTCTATGGGCTGATTTTGATTACCATGAGTAGTGTTGCGACCATTGGATATAGAGAGCACAAAATGAAAATGATTGCCTGTGAACAATTATTTTTCAAATAAATAAACAATCTGTCCAATCCAAATTAACCAAAGTCCCCTAAATCTTCCAAATAGACCCAAAACTCATCTACATCAGTCCATCGGAGTACACATATAGAAATGAAAACCAGATCCTAATTGTATGACAGATCAGATAGTTACACAGAATTCTCACCGGCTTCTCTCTTGGTTCAGTATTGTCATGAATCAGATTTGGCATCACTTTAGCTGGCACTTCCTAAATAAGTATAGCTTTGCCTGCTCAGCACTTGAGTTGGAGAGTGGACAATGTTGAGAGCTTTATTTTCCTACTTTCATCAGGAACACATTCGTTTTGATTTCTAGAAAAATAATTTCAGGAAATTTTTTGTGCAGTTATTTAAGGTTTAATAATAGATTTGTAATTGTTCCCTTAAGGTAATACAAATTGAAAGGATATGCTTTTAAGCATTGAATTGTCTAATTTTAGTGACTTTTTGTGTGGCCATCTCTACATTACACAGCTTTCCCACTTCAGTAATCACCAAATGGGGTAGAAGTTTAAAAGATGCGCACAGTAGTTGGATGCACTTCCTGTGATCCGCCTTACAACAATTGTTTTGTCAGTTTTACATTGTTATCAGCCTCTTCTTGGTTTCAAACTGTAGTCAAATTTGTGAAAAGATGTGCCACAGTTGTTCTTGCTCATGTTATCTTTCTGTGAAACTTATTTCTGCCCCAGTGGAAAAGCTAGATGGAATCTCCCGCTGGTGTGTTGTGATCATCATCGTGATGGAAGATGACAGACTCAACCACTGAGATTTCCAAAAACCTAAAATATGAGCTGTACTGCTCATTTTCAAACTCTGTCTTGTCATTATTTTAGATTTATTCTGACTTGTTTGGCTATTGGCAATAATTAGTTAATAGGGAAACACAGTATTTCCCATGAGGCATAGGCAGTATACCTCCTTTTATGTTTGACAGAAGAGATTTTCCATTCATGCAATAGTCCCAGTAAGTAAAAGAAAGTCAAGTGTATGCTTCAATTGAAAGCTGTCGAAATGTAATATTTAAATCTGCATTTGTTTTATATTCTCCATTATACTACATACTCAGACAACAAAGCAGCAACATGTGAACAAAGCGAATAACATTCATATCGAAAAGGACATTCGACATTTTTTTTTTCAGAAAGGTTTTTTTGTACAAATATCTTTTTTTCTTTCAGCCATTTCACAACTGTGGTTAGACATTTTAGATTTTACCTTAATTCCAAAGACAAATTTGCATTTTTTTTTCTTTTCTCCCCCTATCCTAAACATGTTATTAACAAACTGGGTTAGGGTTACCTATTTTATTACAGTGCAAACACTAACCCTAGCTCTGTCTACCGAGGAAACAACCAAGATGCCTTTCCAGAATAATTCCCAACTGCCTTGTCACCCATCACGTTGATTTTGGGGTGTCTGTTTGACATGCACCTGAACAAAAGCTCGCCCTGTGTATCCCACCCGTGTCAGCCCGTACAACACTGATTTCACTTTATGTTTCCCAACACCGATTGTCCCAGTCACAAAGCTCCAGACATGATGTTTGGATCTGCTCCACTCTGGGAGATCCACGAACACAAAGAGTGACATTTAGAGAGACAGGTCAGCATCAGCCCCATGCAGATAAGTGAATCCCTTTGTGGCTGAAACAGAGAGCAAAAGAGAATTGCAGAATGGACAGCAGACACCCAAGTAGAGCTGAGCGACACCGGTGCCACCGAGCATGCCAGCTCATTACAGCTCCCAACAATGGTCGGGTTGTCAGACCAGGTTCTTAGCTGTTCTCTATTCTCTCCAGCCACTTATCAAAGATATCATTTTCCAGCCAGAGTGACATGAAATATCCCCAGAAGCTTCAGCTAAACCCTCCGTGATTTCACACTCGGATACACACAAAGAAAGGACTCAGGTAGCCAGGGATGGAAGGAGCAAGAAGGAGAAAACGAACAAAAGATGTATTTGTATTCTTTTATTGTGCGTTTTTTGGCGAACCGAGCATGCAAATGCGGCGTTACAAATGATGATCCCCTGTAGCGATGCGCTACAATGTGCCAAGGGGAGGCTGGGAGTTCATCTTCGCAGGCCTGGGGGGGAGTGAGTGCAGATTTGGTCGCAGTGGCAGCTGGAGCCACCGACACTCGCGATGTGTGTTGATCCTCGGATAGCGCCAGATGTGATTCCCAGAGGAAGCCGCGCAGGCAGATGAAGAATCACACACCATGAAAAGTCAAACATGGTGGGGCGGGGGTGCCTGTACACACAGATCCACATGTGAACACTCTAACTGACAAAACTATCTTTCTACATACTACCAAAAGAAAATCTGGAAATGGAAAAAGTTTACCACACTTTTTGTTCTGCAAATTAGTACAACAAAATGGCCTCAACGCCTGTTTGAAAGCCTGTGTTCTAAGACAAATCGTTTAAAACCACCAGCAATAATTCCAGGCAAGACAAGATATACAAGTACTTTCGGCAGAAAGGAGGAGTAATTGAAAGAACTATAATTACCTTACTATGTAATTGTATCTAAGCATTGTAATCATAGTGTTACTTTAAAAGTAATGAAAGTGAACGTGCATTTAAAAAAAAGCTAGTAATTGTCAGCTTGTAATTTAAAAGAAAAATATAAACTAGAAAAGTACATGTGTCCACTTATTGCATGTGCTAGGTGTTACAAAGACGAAGTTTGTGTGTGCATGGATGTAATGGAATTTGAGCAGATAACTTCTAAGACATGATTTTCATGTCAAAACTAAGCGGTCCATCTATCACTGCCTGTTTTAGTCTTCCAAAAAAATAGTTTCTCAACCAACTGTTCTTGTGCGCAAGTTTGTGTTTATCCATCTGAGAGGAATACAGTAGTTGTAAGTTGCAGTGATTAAATCTATTTTATGATATCTTTGGGTAAACATTTTTGCTCTCTCTTAATCACTCTTACCAAGATTGTTTACAAAGCATACTTTTTGCTTTTCAATATACAATTAATTGTGAAAATGTGTCAATTTGTGTTGGTTCTGGTAATAGTGAAATGTATCTTGAAATACTTTTGTGCACATTGGGTTTTTTTTGGTAGCTGAATGTGGTCATTTGGTGGCTGTGTATATTCCTGAAATAGCAACATATCTATGTAGACAATTGTTCATGTCAATTTCATCAATCACATAGTGCTTTGTACCATATCGTGTACATTTACAAGCTTGATTAGTATTAAGGTATTTGGTTAAAACATTTTCAATTAAGGTAAATCACAGACTGGGTATAATAATAATAATAATAATAAATTCAATTTATAAAGCACCTTTCATTGCTAACAGCAATGAAAGCAATATAGCAATATAGCAATGTATAACCGCTGTTTGCAAGGATAAGATATATTTATATAACTGGCTTGATAAGGTGAAGGTTTGATTTGAATTGATCTGAGTTTATAGCAAAGGTTCTATTCTATTTTATGATTGAATGGACTGATTGGATTCGGAAAAACTCGTAAATATGAATGTCATGACCTTTTAGATTGATAACGTAAAGAAATAGGGAACAGTTGCTTCTTTAGACGTCTAGCTGTTACTTAGCAACACTTTTATTAATTCAGGTCAAGTTTGTTGTTACCTGATCAATATAAGTAGACTCTTTTAGTTCTTTCTTTGGTCTCTACCAACTTCTGATGGAAATATCTGGCTTTTCGACTGCAAGTGTCTTCACTATGTTCACCAGCTTGTTTTTTTCACTCTCACTTCCTCTTATCAATACTTTTTTTGTTGCATTGGTATTGTAAGAAAATATTGATTGTAGCTGATTATGGCCCAGACTGAAAGCTTACAGGTAGTATCCACTTGGAAAGCATATTTGCCTTAGTGTGTGTATTTTGAGCTGTTTAATCCGACTCTTTTACCTAAATTCCTAGTGTAGCTACAACCCCAGCAGGAAAATACTCTGGACCATGTTTACAGGAACTTTCAGCAGCTACATTAAGCCCATGCTTCTGATAACCAAACTTCTGCTTACACATATGTGCACTCACCTAGAGTTTGAACTTATGACTGGGAAGCCTTGTATAGAGGGTGTCATTGTATGCCTAATATGTTTACTGAAGCTCTGCTTATTTTCATTTTACTGACGCTTTTAACCAAAGTGAATTACGTTGGTGCAATAAACTCTGAAGATACAAACTCAGAACAACGTGCAAGTACATTGGCCTAAAATAAGCCAAAACTTTTTAAGTGATGGTGGATTAGCTTCGAATGAGCATAAACCCTTGAAGTACATAGGCCAGTACCAGTATCTTGAAGTGGATTCAGACAATCTCCGGTAGCCAGCGAAGGGAGCAGATGAGTGGTGTAGTGTGGGAAAACTTGGGGAGTTTAAGGACCAGTCGAACTGCTGTATTCTGGAAGAGCTTGCAATAATAGTGTGTGGACTGTTAGCTGGAGAGGTGCCAGTTCACCTCCTGAATACTGCAGAGGTGCCCTTGAGCAAGGCACCGAACCCCCAACTGCTCCCTTGCGCTGAACCGACTGGCTGCCTCTTCGCTCTGGCACCTTTCCATGTGCATGCATGCACCTCTATACTTGTGTGTATTTTGTACTTTGTGTGCATTCAAAACAGAGTGGGAAACTGAATTTCCCCCTAGGGTAGTCAGAAAAAGGTTCATCTTCTTCTTCTTTTGCTAGTTTTCCACTCTGTATCACACTCCCTTGTCGAAGCATCCACATGATGATTGTGTTGGTTGTATGTGCTGAGTGTTGTCGCTCGTAGCGTTTTGTATATGACTGAAGTCCTGCTGTGCTGTATTTCAGGGTGACTCTATTCGCACCAACATCCAGCTGGATTTCGGCGATGGCACAGCAGTGTCCTACTCCAACCTGAGCTGGACTGAGGAGGGGATCAAACACGTCTACAAGTCAGTGGGAATATTCCGTGTCACTGCTCTGGCAGAGAACACGCTGGGTTACGACACCACAACCCTCTACCTGCATGTCATATGTAAGTGCTGTCGTTTCAAGTTAAATTCTTCCTTACAGTATAAGTTGATTTACATTTTGTTATTTAAAAACACTTTTAAAGTCCCTTAATAATAATACATTTTATTTATATAGGCGCCTTTAACACTAGAACCGCCAATCGGGTCAATTTGACCCAGAGCTGTTTTTTATTGTGTGTAACTTTTTTTCAATAAATATTAAAGTCTTCCAGTCTGTGACTTTTCCTGAAAGTGTGTTATGTAGCACCCTATGTTGTTACAAATTGTCAATATGAAGTCAGATTGAAGAAATCGCCCAAAAAATTTCCATTTATACCTATTTCCGCCAAGCGGGTCATATTGACCCCACCCCTTTTCATATAAACATGACGTGTTGCTATAGCAACGCCTTTTGTCTACTGTGGTTCCTTATAGATTGAGAGATAGATTGAGAGAGAGAGAGAGATAGATGGATAGTCTATAACATATATATATCTATCTATAACTATCTATCAATATATCTATCGAGGATAGATATATTGATAGATAGTTATAGATAGAGAGAGAGAGAGAGATAGAGACAGTCTGTAGTGAAGGAGTGCGCTGCCGCTCACGGGAGACTGCTCGCACTGCGCTCCGCAGCAAACAGCTGTGGGGCGAGTTGAAAGTACGTTATGCTGGCCGGGGTGTCTAAATAATGCTTCCGGCCCAGCGGGCCATTGAGCCCTGAGAGTCCACAGATTCTATTGGTATACGTTTCATCCCTGTGCGATCAAAACTCTCTGTTCAATAAAAGAACATTTTACCTTGAAAATCAATGCATTCTAATAGCGGGTCAATTTGACCCAGGTGGCGGTTTTAGGTATAAAAAATCTCTGGCGGTTCTAGTGTTAAGACTCTCAAGGTCGTACAGGATACAAAAACAAAACGAGGGAGGCGGATAATGTTACGTACCGGTATATTGAAATAAGCAGAGCGAATTACATTACTGATGTGAGTTTTGAAGGAAAGTGTGCTGTCGAGGATGACACCTAGACTCTTATCCTGAGGGAAGGTTGAGACTGAGGAGTTGTCGATGGAAATGGAGAAACCGTCAGGTTTGCTTAGTGTGGATTTGTTGCCAATGAGGAGAACCTCGGTTTTTATCATATTACATTTAAGGAAGTTGTAGGAGAACCAGTATTTGATTTCCTGTAAGGTGGTTTTGGAAGACAAATAGAGCTGGGTGTCATCCGCGTAGCAATGAAAGTGAATGTTGAATTTACGTAAAAGATATAGGCAAGAGGAAATAGATGAAAAGAAGAGGCTCCAGGAGAGAGCTCTGGTGAACACCGGTAGTTACTGGAAATGGCTGTGATTTAAAAGTTTTGAGTTGGGTGAACTGGATGAACTTCTTAGCAGTAGCAAGGGGTTCCCCTTGGTATCCATTCTCAGGCTACATACAGGCTAAAGCTGCTCATTGGTATGATGTTTAACCTTTTACCCAGTTAAGAATGTATGCAACCTTAAAGCACTACCTGCAGACTGAGGTGAAAGAAGTACTAAGATATTTTACTTAAATGAATGTAGTATTTCAAATGCCAAATTTATTATTTTCAGCTCAATTAACCTAACCCTCTCCTAAACCCGTAGCCAAGTGATACAATTATCTTTCTTCTTTTCTTCTTTTGCTGTTATAGTTTTACCCAATCTATGTTTGAAATGTTTTTTGCAGTTGTTTGAAAGATAATTGGGCCATCAGAACATTAGGCTTAGTTCTTGTTTTCAATGTAGGTGAGATCAAAATGATCGCGCTTTGCGCAACCCCAATATGGCGTTTTAGCAGGTGTCATACCATCAAAAGGTTGTCTCTTGTTTTATTTATAAATGTACTGTTGCATAGCTTGAGTTACTAAAATATGTTGTGTTCCACTGAATGACCGCCAAAATGTTAATCCATGCTAACCTCATCTAATAATATGTGTTATAAACACAAACTATTTTGAGGAGGAAATTCAGGTTTCACTGTGTTTAGAGAATGAGAAGTTGGCCTGTAAGGCTACTGCAGCTAATTGCCAGTTATCTGAAGTTACAACTCCAAAATAATGGCTCATTTTTAACACAGCAATTCCAGGATCATCATTTCCTTCTCTATCCAGATAGCAATTACATAGCCTATCATCATAATAGTGTAGTAGTGTTTCATTGTAGGTCCCCAAGAGAATTATAGAAGCTCCTTCATATTGTTTTTTTGTCTTGTTAGTTGCTCCATTATTGATTTTGTTCAATCCATTTAAATGTAACTTCTTGCCATCCATGTGTCAGCCAGTGTGGTCCGTATTTAGTTCTTGTGGCTATTATTTTAGTTGGGGAAAGCCAAAAATACTACAATATTTCTTGGCTGAGCATATTTAATACAAAATGACTCTCTCCTTCTTTTTCCCATACACACAGCCTCACACACACACACACACACACTGAGCATCTCCAAGTGGGGATAAAGATTAGTTCTGGTTAAAGAGGATGAGAGCTAACAGAAGCCTTGGCGAGACGAACGCCTCAGACCACAGCACTACACAAACGTTTCGTTTGAGTTTTCCACTAAAGTAGTGTATTTCATCTCTCCGCGGCGGGCAACTTTATCCCTGAGATTAGTGTAAAGCAACCTAGACCCCTGTCAGGTCCTATTAGCTTCTTAGTGGGGGGTGGGTTGCAGCATTATCCTAAAGGTATCATGTCGAAAATACATGATGGTGTCAACATATTTTCAGTCTACGAAAGAGACTTATTTTTAGTTGCCACGGCAATAGTTACAGATATTCAAGCACCTTATACATTGGCATTTTTAATCTGTCATCACTTTATACTGTCAGTCAAAAACCTCTTCATTTCAATTGGCTCAAGCGAAACATGTTCCAAGGTATGAATTTGCTGCTCGGCAGGCGTATAAATAAAATGAATTGGCAAAAAATGAGTCAGGATAGACTGAAATGACTATGATGTCTCCAAAAACAAGGATTATAAATTACTAAATTGCCCCAGCAAGCATATTATAATAGGAAGGTAGAAAGCCTGGGTTACCATTTATCAACCTATAAAGAAATGTAATTTAATTAACATAACTGCAAAAGCTCCTACTGAATGTTTATTTGTACTGAAGCACAATAATATTAATTGTTTTCACAAGGCAACATAAGACTTCACGTTAGGAAAAGATCATTGCCACAGCAAATTAAAAGAAATTAAACAAAAATAGCATAAATAGAGCTTATAAGTCAGAGCCTGCATCGTAGATTTGTTCACATATTACTATACAATTTATATTTCTGGGTTTATTGACAGTTTGGAATAACACTGGGGGTTGTACCATCATTTGTATCAAATGCAGTCTCGTTTTGCATCTGTTGATGACAATTATACCAATCTGCAGGTAGGATTGAGAATGTTGAGATGCAGAGATGTTTGGATGAGATCAACAGGGGGTTTTGAGACAACTCACAGAAAGTTGGTTTGAAGATTTGATTATGTTATTGTACATCACGGGGTTGCACAACACATCTTGTTGTTTCCTTATGCAATACATTAAGAGCATATAAAACCAAAAGAGTTTCTAAAAAACTGTCTTTATCTCTTTCTTTATTTTTCTCTCAGGTCCAGTGGAGCACATCCATCTTCTCACTCCCTTTGTGGTCATAAAGAACAAGGAGGTGAACATCACAGCAGTGGTCCTGCCCAGCCACTCACGCACTGTTACTTACTTCTGGTGGTTTGGCAACAATACTGAGGTACTTCTTCCATAACAGCACTCTTGACTTCAGCTGCTTTTAAACAGCAAGCAGGCGCCTTTGTGGCTCCCTCTGCATCTGACTTTGTTGGCCTTTTATTATGATTATTAGTTTAGGATGTAAAAAAAAAGCACAATATAAATGAGCAAAAAGTACATCATAGTATAATGTGAATTATATTATTTATGCCAGAATTAGGATATAAACCAAAGTATTGGACATTGGATATTGGACCTCATGTGCGAACATGGTATAGTCCGGAAGTGAAAGTTTCACTCCACCAACATTGCAACCCCTAGAGCTATGATTCTAGCATGTCTAAAATGCAGTATTTGTAATCTCTTTGATCCCATAATACTTCAATTTAAGTCAATCTCAGGTTGACTTTAACACAAGATGTCTTCAGCTGTTGTTTTTTTAAATGACAGTTGAAGACATATGTTTTCAATTAGCTTTTCATTAGCGACATCCCCATTTTATTTTATTTTATAATATCACTATTTTTGTATTAGATTGTTTTATTAATTCATTTTATAGTTTTTTATATTTTATTGTATTGTCGTTTTATTTTGTCTTATGTCTTCCTTTGTTTTACTGAGAGGGTCATCTTCTCCTAATTAAATTTTTACTGTTTTGTTATCATACCTTTTTGACCTCCTTGGGTTCCTTGAATTGTTATATTATGTTTTTGCATACATGCTACATGTGTGCAAAAAGGTTTGATCGTTTGACTTGAAGTGAATTTCTTGTTCTCTGTTTTACATCGTGAAGTGTGCCCTGTGGCTAAATCAGTTTGAGCTGCACCTAGTGTATGAAAAGTGCCATACAAATAAAGCTTTATTATTATTACTTCTACATTAACAGGGGTATAAAACACTGAAGGTAACCACTTGCATAACAAGGCACTCCAAACACACCCTTACTTCAACAAAACTTTATATTTCTCTTGAATAAATCCCAGTGTTAGACCTATTTGTCGCACCACTGATGGATGGAATGAATATAAGGAAACTAGGGTCAACCTTGAAAACCAGCCTAAGGCAAGATAGCCAATGTCCAGTGATTCAAGCATGGACCATGTGCTTGAGAAGTGTGACATTACTTTGTACCTGTACCATTTGCTCTTGCAGCCCGTGATAACATTGGACGGGAGTATCTCACACACCTTCCCCAACGACGGGATGCACACCATCACAGTCCAGGTGGCTGCAGCCAACACCATCCTGCAGGATACCAAGACCATAGCAGTGCAAGGTCAGTATTTCTTAAATGTATCCCATGGAACAAGCCTGTACTTCTTAGATTCTAGCTAAAAATTGTGTTATGGAAATATTTCAGAAAACAGTCCTTTAGTTAGACACCTTTATATTCTGACGTGTGTAAAATGTTTTTGAAATAAAACTGCTCCTACTTAAGTAAAATATATCACATCACTGTTAGAACCTATAAAAATATGTCTTCATTTGAAAGTAAGTAGCCCGACAGCAAGTATCTGTAAAATGCTTTGATTTATTACCAATAGATGGGCTGGCATAGAGCTGTGATATTTTCTAATTACCTAGAAGTGAATCTGGTACATCCAGCCAAAGGGAAGTGTAGGGGATATGAGAAACCCTCGTCTTTTCATCAAGTGTTAACTACCTGAAACTCAACTTGAGCGAAATGACAGTTTTGGCGCTTCTCCCTGAGAATAATGCCCCCGGATCGGAGTGAAATAATGGCTGATTCTCCCTCGACTCTACTCAACAGAATTCTTCAAATCTCTACTTTTATCATTCTCCCCTAATCTGGACGAGTTCAACCCAGACATACCCGAGTGGAGACAGGATGTGGGGAGAGTAATTAAGAAGGCTTTGCTCCAAGTGAGTGAATTTCATTTTCTCTTCCGTCCATCTTGCTGTCTGTCTTCAACTCCTTTGTCTTTTTATTTCCTATTGTCTTTCTCGCCCTGCTCTTGCTCAATTCTTTCCTATACCCCTATTACCTTTGCTGCCCACTCCTCATTGGTGCGGCAAAAAAAGATTGCCCTTACCCAGCGATTCATCATCAGAGAGGTGTGAAGACCCCTCTGCTTTCCTTCTCACCCAAGATGACTTCATGAGGTCGAAATCTTTAAATCTAAAAGTCGGCAATACAAAGTTATTGGAAATTCAAGCGTGGCGGCTTCGGAGGGACCTTTTGAGTTACGAAATCTGTCACGGTATATAATGTGTGTGTGTGTTAGCGTACTTGAACGTACTGCAGGGGGGTGCATGTAGCCTCGCAATGTGTGGGCAGCTCACCCATCGTTGTTAAGTGCTACTCAACTCCCTATTCACAGTTCATGAATAGCGGACCGCATTTGGTTGTGCTACTCTCTTGACCGTCTTACAAACGAGTCGAGTTTAAGAGCTGCTGGTGGGCGCTTTTTTTGAATTGTTTTAAATGGTTAAAGGAGATCTCATAAATAACATATGGTCCGTGATGTTGAGCCAATTGATTTCCATTTATCTTCTCTGTGATGTCATGTTCGGTAAGACGATTCGGCCCTACAAATATATATTTTTATTCAGAAACACATTTCCCCATCAAGTCCAGAAGAGGGACGTGTTTCTGTTAAATAATTTAGACTGAATCGATGTCAACAACCCTGTAGACTCAAAGGTTTTTTTAGTGTTTGAAATCGGCTGAGGTGTAACTTTCGCTCTTAAAGATGCCCTATTATGCTTTTTGGGTTTTTTCCAATCCTGTAGTGTGTTATATACGTTTTAAGCATTTAAATGGTCTGCAAAGACTACAATCCTAAAGTTCCCTCCAGAGCGATTATCTCTCTCACATACCCCCCCCCCCCCTACCTTAAACGCCTCCATTGGACTCCTTTGTTTATTTCAGAGCATAGTGACATAGTTGTCCATCACATTTTACGTGATAGGCTAAGGGGCGGGACATAACTGAAACATCTCTAATCTGTGGACCAATCACAACAGAGCCAGCCAGCTAACCAATCAGAGGAGACTGGGCTCTGGTTTCAGACAGAGGGTGAAAAGAGGTTCTGCATCACAGGCAGTATGAGAAAAATAAAGAGCGTTTTGAACATTGAAGCATGGAGACATGTCACAGCAGAGGAAGAAAATACATGACCCTGAAAATGAAAGCACAATAGGGCCCCTTTGATCAAGTACTTAGTTTATCAATGCATGATTAAGCTATTACATGATTGTATTCTTCTCTGATTACAGAGATAGTATTAATACTATCATATCACAGTTACATTATTTCACATAACATGTAGTACATCAAAGGGTAATGTGCTAAACTGCCACCTGTTTTATCTGCAGAGTTTTCCTGTTTTTGTATTCACTCTGTAAGATGATTCAAGCTGCATTGTTCACATTATTGTAGTGACATGTTTCAACTTTCTAAAATATGCTACTTTAACTTCATAATCCTAATGTTTATGGGGAGGCGTGTGGTGCAGTGGGTTGTGCTTTAGTGTTGGGATCAGGGGGTCACAGGTTCAAACCCCACTGCAGTCAGCATGTCGTTGTGTCCCTGGGCAAGACACGTCACCCCAAATTGCCCACAGTATTGAGTATGTAAGTCGCTTTGGATAAAAGCGTCTAACAAGTGACATGTAATGTAATGTTCATGCACTTTTTTTGATAAGTGAATTTGGTCAAGTCTGTTAACTTACGTTCCACTTCATGCTAGCTGGTGATGAGGTTGTATTCCTGCCTGTCATTAGGTTGAAGGCTCCAGGTTCACTGTGTGGGAGTTTAGTGTTGTAAACAGCAATTCAAGCAGTACAACCAAAACCATACTTCATTATTTTAGCAAATTACAACAAAGCTTGATAAAAACTTAAAATGATAAGGGCTTATAACCTCTTGTAGAGAGACATTTATTATTAATTTTTTTTATTTCATAGTGCATCATGGTAAAACATTGGCTAAAGGATACAGTAAGCTTTTTTTTAAGTTTGTCTTAAACTAATACAAATGTATATTCACGTTTGCTTTTAAAGAGTTATTAGTTGCTGTTATTAAGATAAGATTTTGTCTTTACATTACTTATTTTTCGGTCCCTAATCTATTTTTCTCCTCACACTAAGCTTGTATAGTAATGGATAAAGACAAATACTGTTTTATAGATAGTTCCCTCAATAAACCTACATGGGGTTCTTCAGGTTGACCGAACATGAACATACACATTGTAAGGCTATCTTGTGGTCATAGAACTAGGCTTACAATAAATAACCATCCTCACAGATTATTTTTTGAAGTGAAGTATTACATTGAACAGGGAGTATACATGGTGACTATTCCAACATGTGTTTTTTCACAATTTTACTAGTGGCTGATGTGTCACTTTGCTTTATATATTTTCACATTGTCCTGCTCAAATCTGTTATGTGCCTAAACCCATGTGAAAGAACTGTAGATGTGTGTATAAGTGTAGCACTGACACACATTACATTTCCAGACAAAAACATTATCCAAGTTTTGACAGGAAAGTTTATTCTTCCTCTATTTCGTTATGGTTGAGAACTCTTACTTGAGACAGAGGCCAGTCCACATCTGATGGCTTTTCAATATAGTAAACAACTCCCAAACGATAAAACACGAGATGAGAAGAGGGAACAACTTACAATAAAGTCAAGGTCCATTTAACTGAGGCGCTATTACTTGCAGGGCAGTTGCTGAATCTCTCGAGTCATAACTTCGGTGCCACTGCCTCTACAAGTTCTGAATGCACAATCAGTAATGGAGGTTAAATCATCCCACTCTGTTTATCTACAACCATCTCCCTCTTACATCGCCTTTAGGTTTCTCGGCTCAAATGCAGACTGTTTGCAATGTTCATACTCCCACAGCTTAACTTAAAGTTAAATCTAGCTGTCGTATTCTTATTGCTACCCTGAAGGCACCACATTACTTAGTAAACCATTCAAAGCAATATGTTTTCTATTTTCACTCTTGTAAACTATGGTTATGTTGATAACTACCTTTCTCTAAAATGACTAGAATTTATATTTGGTTTTAAGAGATACCCCTCATGATAATTAAAAACAATCTGGATTTCAGACAAAGAGGCCCTATTATGCTTTTTGGGGTTCTCCCTTTCCTGTATAGGTGTAAAAGGTTATGTCCTTAGATGTACAGCGATGTACTCTGTGTATAGTGCTGATTTGTCATTGTAAGCATGCTAACATGGTTAAAGAACATTCTAAGCATGTTTTCCTGCTGTTGCTAGCATTTATGTCAATGCATGCTGCCACTGTGAGTAAGCTCAAACACTAGATTTTTCCACTGTTGCCTAAATATCACATATAATCGCTTCTGGTACATAGAACATGCCCTAAAGAAAACGTTTGCACATGCACACAAATGGACTGTATGTGTAGAGGTGGAAACCTTTCAGTATATGCACAGTTACAGTTCTGTCCTCAGCGCCTCTAGAGCTTATCTTCTTCAAATAATACCAAAATAAACTTGCAAAATATTGCACTGTGGGATCTTTGTATCAAACTAAATTGAGCCACTCTTCCCTGCAGCAGGTAACCTCCTCCTCGCTCAGTGTCTCACCTCTCTCCCTGCTTGCTATTTCAGTGTGATGTTTGTCTCCAGCAGTAGATTTGCACAGCACTCGAAAGCAGCCTGCCAGCTTTTTTCTGAACTAATGACAGATTGCAATGAGAACAAACATGGTCAAAGTGTATTGATTTTTTTCAGGGGCTATTGCCTCTTTTGTCATCCTATTTACTTTATCTCCCCCTCTGCCATCCCTTCTCTCATTGCAAGTCATGCCCATGGCTATCATTTGTCCACTACTTTGGTACTCAAATAGAGATTTCAGTGCTTGATAATTGATGTGCTTTGGCTTTAGCCACTCCATTGTCCACCTCAGCCGCTGAGAAAACATAAAAACATCACAGGCTCTAAAATGAAGAGTGATCACCACCCAGGCTCTGCATCCCTTCCTTGAATAAACTGGTTAAGTGCTGAGTGCCGAAAGAGGTTTTCGGGAAAATAAAACAGAAAACATTGGTTTGGCCTCACCTATTTCATCAAAAACCAAAGGAAATTGAGATTTAACCAGAAAACGTTTTCATTTCATTTCAAACCAAATGACTTTCTTTTGTTGGATTGCAAAAGTCTAATTACACGTCTGAAGCAATTCCTGTGAGGACCATCACCAAAATATCTTACTTTCAAAATTGCGACAGCGTCTTTGAAGCTTTTGTTTATTTATCTTACAACAAATATATTTATTCCACCCTCAGCAAGCAATTAGAAAGGCAAAGCTTGGGATAGTTGAGTCATAGCTGTTACATTTGTAGCAAAAAGCTTCTAGGTACAATTATGATTGATTTGCTTTTTTATCAATGAATGCTCAATGACATAGGAACCTGATGGGAATTTTACAATTACAGGTATCTTTGAAAAAAATCCAAATGTTTTAAGAAGTCAGGGGATCATCAAAATGATTAGAGTTCATCTTCTGGTAACCATGACTGTCTGTATCATGTTCCAGGACAATCCATTCATCAGTTCTTGAAATTCTTTACTTACGTAATGTTGAAGAAACAATCTTTTCATGCAGAGATTCTGCTTTGGTACAGCTTTATGTAGCACAGTGTCCAGTTGAGAAACATTGGAACTGAACAATATGAACCCTGAAGTGTTAACGAAAAAGAACAACTGTACCGTCTTCCCAATAAGTGATATTTGAAACAGTGGGGTACTAACATGACTGAACTGAACGGGAGGCTGTGGCTCAGTGGTGGGGTGTTGGACTTCGAATCAGGGGATAGCAAGTTTGAGCCCCACTGCAGTCAGCATGTCGTTGTGTCCCTGGGCAAGACACTTCACCCCAAATTGCTCCTGTGGGGATTGTCCACAGTATTAAGTATGTAAGTCGCTTTGGATAAAAGTGTCTAACAAATGACATGTACAGTAATGTAATGTAACTAGACACAAAGGTCATTATGCATTTGGCACTTTTGTCTCTTTGTATCTATCTGTGTTGTTCCAACCCGATCTCTCTGCTGCCGATCAGGGCTAGTTGTGAGTGGTTCCAGAACAGTAGCTAGAGTCCAGTTCTGCCACTGCCATCCTTCCAGTGCATTCTGGTGAATGTTGAGTCTATCCAGTAGTTTATTGTGTTAATCTTTATAGATTGCATTCATTTATTTGAGCTGTTTTACCAAAACTTTGTTAACTTAGCATTGTTATAGAATATAGTGATCCGGGGTTCCCATTGCTACCTCTGCAAAACATTGGCAGTAATAGAAGTACCACAGAATCTTACAATGATCTCAGAGAACCAAATCAATTGTCTTGCTGTAGTCTAAATATTAAGTCAGTAACGTATAACTCGTGTTTTGAAAAAGAAAAAGAATTGTGAGCCAAAGTAGCAAAGCTGCATTTTTTATTTCCTTTTTTGTTATGAGTTTACATTTGTATGTGTTGTAATTTTACACAATATGTATTTAAAGTTCAGCCCACATTTAATAAAAAAGTTGTAGAAAATAACCCTAATAAAAAAATCTGCCACGCGTCCCATTAAGGCATCAAAAGCTTTATCAAGAGGGTGTGCTATTTGAAGATGATCCCCAACGTCTGAAGTGGAGAGTGTTTACAGCCACTTAGGTATTTACATCCTGACTGAGAGTTTGAGTATATCATGAAGTACTCTCTCTTAAAATTAAAAACAGATATAGATGTACTCCTCACATTTTAATGCAAACATTTTTAACATTTACTTTTGAAATGTGCTATGTAATGGATAATTTAGGCTATAAGCAGTCATTCCTTCCTATGTCCGTTAAGCTTCTCAACACTCACATGTAATGTTATTTATATTTAAATGTTGGCCATGAGGGTTGTGCAGCACTTCATATTTTACTTCCTGTCTGTTTTCTTCTGCTGTTCATGTTTGTGTTTACTTCCTGTCTTTCCTTTTCCACTGATCTCTCTGTCGGCAAAACCCTAACCCTCTTCTAACTTCTTCCCTTTCCTAGTTTTCTGTTCTTGTTCTCTCTTTATTTTCTGTACGGACCGTTCAGCCATCATAAGACCAGCTTTTCATGCTCTCAATATATATATCTATATATATATATAGATATATATATATAAAAAGGGATATTCAAAAAGTATTGCATGGTGTTTTCTGATGAAGAAAAACAAATGTGTTTTTGCCACAGTTGACGTTAAACTGACCAGACTTCTTACTGTGGATTGATATTCACATTGTCCTTTGATAAGAGCGTCCTTTGCAGGGGTCTGCGAAAAAGAGCACTGCTTAATGTCTAAATTGACCAATCAGAATCAAGCATTCAACTTAGCTGCTACATTCACACGCCATAATCTTCACATTGCAACATCCAAAGAACCCTCTTGATTATGGCAGTGTACTTGAGTCTCAGTTCTTCTGCTGGGGATGTTATTATGTTCACAACCAGCCCCCTACTCTGTTGAGCGCTGTGCTTCCTTATGTTTGCAATACATATATAACATTCACACAATAATCCACTAAAGGGGGGTAAGCTGACTGGAAGAATGTAATTGTCTGATTTCATGGGCACAGAACAAAGTCATAAATTGATGAAGTTATTTGTATAAATCACTGTCACAGTGCATTTGTCTGCCTTATCCCAGGTGTCGGACTTCCCAGAGGAGCAGCTCCTGGTAGCCGTGTTCCCAGGAGTCCCAACAGCTGCCGAGCTCTTCCTGTTACCCCACAAGAACCAATCAGAGGGCAAGAAAAAGAGTGAGGAGGTGCTAGAGCAGGTATGGGGGACTTTATTGAAAATGTACATTATTACTTGAAATCTAATCAAAAACGTTGCTGTTCACAAAGCAAAACAAGACTTATTTTAATGTAGATAACCATGTTGTATGTGTTTAACAGGTATCTGATGTAATTGTAACCGCGCTGAACCAGAACTTGGTGGAGTTCGAGCTGAAGCCTGGTGTAAGGGTGATTGTGTACAACACACAGTTAACACTTGGTAAGAAACATTTGCTCTTATTGACATTAAGTTATCAACCCTAATTGTACCTGGCATGGGGCATCACCTATCATTTTATATTCTTCATTTGGAAGTCCCAAAATACACAACTGTAAAAATGGTCATTGGACAACATGAATGTTTCTTTGCTCCGCTCATTAAAATTCCTGTCAGTCTGCCGCCTTTCCCAATAAAGAACACAGGGGAGTATGACAGGCTCGGGGTTGATTTTAAGTGGAGCTCCTTGAGACGATCTTTTATGCCTGCCATAAAAAGCTGAACATCTGTTCTATTTCTTGTATCGCCATCCAACCACAAAATGAGTGTTACACTAAGTATAATTATGTTGATTATTTAGTCCTTGAGAAAGAACACTGTACACTTTTATGGGAAAACATTTCTTAAGAAATGCTTGAGAAGTCAACAGCGTCTGGTTCGAAAATGCTGAAAATAGGTGGTCAAGATTACAAACATTTAATAGGCACTGCTGTCAAAAACCAAAGTGCTGTTATAAGTATAAAAGCAATGCTGGATTCATGGAGGCACATTGTAAATAACATGGATTTTCAGGAGAAATCTACCTTTTATTGGTGTTGGAAATACTTAACAAATCCTGTGTCTGACTGCTGGACAGATACACTTACACGGTATTCATTGCTTGGCTAGTTTCATTAGGCAAACAGTCTTCGGAGGCACACAGCCATGAGTTGTGTGTAGCTGAAAGTGCTGGGTATTAACAGCCTGGCATATGCTGCTCTGTGACGATCTGTGGTGTGCTGCACTTTAATGACATTGGAGGTTTACCCAGCTGGATACCTCTTTATATTTCACCTCCCAAGAAAAAGGTCTAAAGAGCCTTCAAGCTGCTTGAGAAAGGTCAACAACATACGTAACGCTGTTTGTAAGCTCAAGTGTTTTGCAAGTAGCTCATAAACATTGGGAATGATTTCCCTGAAATACCAGACATTAAAGCCCTCTTCAACATAACGAGTTTGATTATGAGCAAAACCATGTACTTTGATACCAATCCTTGAAAGTGCTTGTTTGATTAGCCTTTTGTTTGAGGTAAATGTAACCATTTCAAATCTACCTAAAAAGTAATAAATACCTGCTGCTGTCACCTTCTTTGCCCAGCAATAGAAACAGCAATTTCACGCTATCACAACAATGACATTTGAGCTATTTAAAACAAAAGCATAATTTGAAAATCCATTATCTCTGTTGTGTGTGTATATACAGAACTCACGGTCAGCAGTGGAGTTAATTTACTGGAGCATAAACATGGGTCTATATTTCATTTCATGTAAATGTGCAGTCCGGAAAATGAAAAATAACACAATTTGTATTACGATAGAAACAAACTGATGACACAAATGTTTAGAGAACCATGACAATTTTTTTACAAACATTGTTTTGCTAAGCTGCCTAAGCACTTGCAGTTCATACATGTTGTACATATTGCAGATTAAAGACGCCCTGTGGAGTTTTTAAAGTGGTTGATGGACAATACACAATCCTGCTACCTGTGTAGCCTACTCTGCTAGTCAACAATTCATTGGCAAGGGGACCTTGGTCCGTAGTTTGAGAAGCCCTGGCCTACATGTATTTACAGGTCTTCCAACAACTTAATTTAATTTACTTTATACAGCTACTAAACTTTTTATCAGGAATAATGTACTTTCATTTACTCAAATTGCTGGGCATGTTGGTAATGCAGACAATGATATCAACAAGCTAAACATGGTGTAGACCATGTATATTTATGGGTCTTCCAACTACTTAACTTTACTTACTTACTTTATATAGCTACTCAACTCTTAATCAGGCATAATGTACAGTACATTCATCTTCGTCGCCATTACTCAAATTGCTGAGCTTGTTGGTAAGGCAGACAATAATATCAAAGCACATGTAACATGCTAAACTAGCCTAACATGTTATAAAGCCGATACTGTAGATAACTAACTAACTTCTCACTTTAGCTACTTAACCTTTTATCATGATTAATGTAGATTCATGTACATCAACGTCTCACAAATTGCGGGGCTTGTTGGTGAGGCAAACAATGAAATTAAAAGGAGATATACCAAAAGCTAACTGTTTCCTGTCCGCTCCCACAGCACCCTTGGTGGACTCCAGCCCCAGACACAGCAGCTCGGCCATGCTGATGCTCCTATCAGTGGTGTTCCTGGGTCTAGCAGTGTTCCTCATCTACAAATTCAAGAGGTACACTGTGTGATTACTTCCACCTGCTGCACATGGCACGGTCATATAGAACCCTAGTATATATCTATTATTTTATTATCCATTATTGATGATACCATTTGAGCACCGTCTGGACCAATCAATCAGTCGCGCTAAGAAATTTGATTTAACAAGTCCCCCTAGAGGTTGTACACAAACTTCTAGCAGGATTGAATGAGCATGTGGCTCCAATCAGTGATAAAATGTGGATAAAACGACCATTAAAAGGGTTGAATATGCTGTTGCTGTGCCACGCTTGTTATTTGCTGAATAAATTATTCATACTTGAAATGATTCTCTTGAAAAGTCTGGGGGAATGGAAAAGCTGTCATTAATTATGAATATGAATTTTTTCCCATTAGTCTAAAGAGCATGCATTTTTCAGGAAATCTCACAGTTGACAAAACAGAGCAATTAATAACCCAAATGAATGGTAATTGGAAATAAATTGGATGGTGACTAAATATAGATGTATATTAGGTGTTATAAATGTTGATGGGAAAGATACCAATGCCACTGTAATTTGCCTAAAGAGTAGTCACTGAGGTATTATTACAGTTGAGACAACTCTGAAAGTTGGAATGCCCAAAGCACTAGGAAACAGAACTGTCCTTGAGGTTAGCCGAGAAAATGTGTTTAAAGTTTGTCATAAAAAAAACACTTTTGTTAGACTTGTAAATGATTATTTTTATACTGAAAAATATGGCAAACATTTCATTTTTTCCAATTTGTCAATCTCTTCTTTTGTAAAATTAGAAAAATACCTTGGATCAACATATACGCTGAGGTGAACCAGGAGAAGGAGCAGGAGATGATTGGCTCGGTCGGCCAGGGTGACAGCACGCCTAAAATCACTCTGAGTGAGTTCTCCGCATCCAAAGAACTCATGGAGAAAGAACTGGATGCCAGGATCAAAAGTAAATGAAGAGCTTTCATGGAGTGAAATGATTCCACTCAAAATGATTGCTTACTGACTTGAAAAGGGTTTTGATTTCCTGATCGGAGACATGATTTTCTATCATTTTGAAGATGGTTTTAGAAGTCAGAATACACAAATACATGTGTGCAGAATCATACCCCAGGAGTACTTTAGCTATTGAATTTGAATTATTTTTTAAAACAGAGAATTGGCAACTTAATCTCCTTTTAGCAATTTGAATTATTCAGAGAAGAGGAAAGCAGAGGGAGCCGCAGAGTATAGACAGACCAGGATGGGGTTTAGCACAGTAAAGAAAAGATTTTCAGCAAGGCTTGCAGTACTGAGAACAATGAATAAATAATAAAACCAACATGTTTAAGCATGCTGCCTCAGGACATCGTTGGCCAGCAGGAGCACAGAGGCAGCGGCCTTAATCACTTGACTATTTGGTTAGAATATGACTTGTTTAAATATTCCAGCACATTTGCGAAAAGCTAATTGGCTAAATTCTGCTTACTCTGACCTTATATGATACGCTGTTTTGCTGCTTTACCAACAGAATGCAGTACAGGTCAAATGGCAAGTGCAGTTCCCGAATTAATTTGTCTCTGAGTAGCTGACGTAGGTGTGAAAATGATTAAGGTCTTACACCGAGGTGACACCCACAATATTGTATTCAGCTCAATGCCCATTGTTATCTTCTGCTTACTGCCTGTAAGCCTCTCCACAGAGGAGAGGCGGTCAGTATTGTCATCATGTAGCAGCATGACCTGAGGTGCTGCCCCAACCCTAATCATACTAAGTCTACAAAATGAATAATAAATGCAGACCTCTGCTACAGTATAGACTAGAACTTCACAGGGTTGCACAACTAGTTGTTATGCTACACATTCGTAGCGTATGAAACAAAGACTGTATTCCACTCCTGTAGTGCATTTTCTAGAACTTGCATCAGGAGAAATATACAGGAAAAACAGCAGCAACACAAAAGCCTCGATGCCTTCTATACATGCAGTGCAACCAGACAGTGCATGTATATGGGATCTGTGATATAGAGTGGTGCAGTAATGATTCTTAAAACCCAGAAAATGATTAGCATATTACCATTTCCGGTCGTCTCAAAGTCAATGGATTTTTGAACATGTGTGTGGTAAGAAGCCTGAAACAAGGTCTGGGGTTAACACAAGCTAACCTTTTTGTTCCACAAAATAAAATATGTCATATAAATAACGATTGGTTAAATTAGACTTATATACCTCATCACTCCGACACAAGTCCGCCTTTAGCTTAGCCCGGGGTGACGCGCCACCATGTGACCGTAATGTACTTCATACATTAGCTTTTTCACTTCTTCTGGTTGCATTTACGCTTAAAAAAGGAAAAAGTGATGTTAGTATATGGAAATCATCCTGCTGAACAAAACGTGTCAGTATCCTTCACGAGTGTTGACCACAAAGCTTGATTTCTGCAATATACCAAAATCAACTGGGGAAATCCCATCATCACTGCAGTACTCTATTGAGTGCTATTATAAGAAGATAACACATTTAAAATTACAATAATTACATCTTGTAATAAATACAACGGACAATTTAAAGCGTAGAATAGAAGCAATCATGCTAATTAGAGTAATAATTACTTCCAGTCCTGGAATGTACAGTATATTACATTAAATGGCCAATCCAGGGATTTAGTATTGCATTTTCTTACAGGCAGCAAAAACAGATGATGATATAGTAAGTTCAGAAGACGGAAGACATCCTCATAGTAATGCTTATTATTACTGGACACTACATTTTGAATAATGCAACGTAATAATATCCTTTATTAGACCCAAACTCAACCCTCCCAGTTCGCACACAGGCCTTTTTTTCTACAAATGCATAGGGTCCAAACCAATGAGGATATAACCCTTTAAAAAATTAAGCATTTGTTTAAATTCTAATAACAAAACATAAAAACAAGAACAAACAGCAATACAAATTAAATTATTCAAAAGAAAGAATTAAAATAAAACAACTCTCCTGAGTGTGAGACAACATGCGCAACCAAAAAACTAATTAATTCTAATGTCTTGTTCAGTCTTGCATAAAGTACATTTGTTCTCAAAATATGAAAAGCAAATTGATAAACATGTTTGTTGGGTATGTTTTCGACAGTTTTACATTATAATTCAATTAATTTTCCATTAACAATATACTGCATAACAGAAAAATGAACTATGTTTGTTGAGTAATGTTGGTTTAGTCAATCCTATCAATACATCTTCAACATGTGGACCTTGTTGGCCTCTTCCAAATGAAATCATAACTTAAATTGTTCTAGTATTCTGAGGAAGAGTTATGAAATAATTCAATGCTGATGAAACTTATTACAGCCTTGAATCAGAGAAAGCAGTTCGTCTTGACATGCTGTTATAACCTACAGTACATAACATAAACACAAATGTGTATTCTCTGCATGTGTTTCATGTTGTCTTGTATAATTGCCCTTAAGACTACTTTAGGAGTTATTTTGTTTTCTGTGAGTTGTTCCCAAAAATGTTGCAAAATGCAGTGGAACTACACTGGAGGTCTTTGGATAGATGTGTACCCAGGGTTGGGAGAGTTACTTTGAAAATGCATTTCATTACAATTACTAGTTACCAGTAAAATCTGTAACTAGTAAACCTAATCTGAGTATGAAAATATTGATTATATTTTATTCATAGGAAAACCTGCCTGTCATTAAGCATATTCAGGCAGTAGTTTATACACCAACACTGAAACACATGATTCACACTTAAAGTATTGGCCTACAGAACAGTACAGTTTACAGAAGAAATGCAATGTTTTGTATCCTGATTACATTATCCCGTTACATTAAATCCCTTACTTCCCGATCCTGCATGTATCCCATCATCCTCCACTAATGACATCATACGACTCACTGAAGTTTCCCTTCATTTTCAGCATGAGCGGTAGAAAAAAGAAATACATTTTCATAATGGCTCACTTTCTTATATCCAAAAAACAGCTACAAATCCTTGGATTAAAACATTTCAGTAATAAACACGAGGTGTCCATGTCAAAGAGGTTGTACTGATGCAGAACTAACTATCTCTCATTCTTTTCTTCTGTCTTTCTCTGCTCAGGGGGAGTTGGAAACGCCTGCGAGAGCACAAGGGAGATTCCCAACTGTACTAGCGTGTAAAGCTGAAGAGCGACAGTTTATGTACAGCCAAGTGTTACAGTGTCGGGGTTCTCTTTTTCTGTTTTGTAATTCTCAACACAACTGATGTTAATAGTTTTCTAAGGGACCTCATTTATACTGACTTGCACGGATGCCTCATTCAGCAACATCCACGCAGAAAAATGTCAATTTACTCGATGAGATCAGTGTCGTAACTGGCATATACAGTTTTGTGGATGTATAAGCTACATTCATTCACAGAGTGAAATACCTTTGGTCCACACCTGTGAAGAGTTCTGTACATTTCATAAGGAGTTTGCTTTGAGAATAATTTCTGCCTATATATAGACTATAATGTCTGAGTCTTCAATCTAACAGGGAATATTATTGAAATGTACAATATTATCATATGTTCTGTTAAATGTATATATTATTACTTTCTACCTGCTCGTAGTCTAAGTACCATGGACAACAGAGGATCTGGTCTGTTTTTGAAAGTGTGTTAAAACATTACTTAAAGAAATCAACTTTGTTTCGCTAAGGTTCTTGACTTGTGCATGTTCTTATTGAGGACAGGATTTCTGTGTTGTAGATAAGCAAGTGTTGTAAATAGTTATTTTCTAATCCTCCCTCAAAGAGCCCAATGGATTTTACCCACACTTCTTCTGTTTTGCCCTTGTTTTCTGCAGTTACTGTTGGGCGATAAGTATCTTGTAGAAAAGGTTTATCTGTAAATGCAGGTAGAATTCTATTGAAATAATGCAGTATTAACGTCCCACTATTTCCTTGGAAAGAAATACAAACATGTCCAATGTGTTTCATTAGATATATACAATAGATATTCAGTGATGTTTACACAGATTCCATCCTTGCCATTGGTCTCATTACATTACCTTCTGCCTGTTGGACAATAACTCAGATTGGGCATCAGAACTCATTTCTATTGTGGTGACCAGTGATCAAATTCACAATATTCATATGTTGGGAGAACATTGATGGCGTTCAATCCAAAATAACATTATAAGTTATGTGTACGTCCTCAGAAATACCACGAACAGAAGGTTGCGTTCTGATAGCTGGTTCCACTTCGGTTCCTGTTTGGGAAAGAACAATATGAATCAATCGAGTGGTGCACTGATGACCTTTTATTGTTGGCAAACCCTGAAGTTAGCGTCGCAAGGGCTCCTTCAACAAAAAGCTATTTGATTCTTTAATATATTTTCAAAAATTGCAAATAATAAGCGCTGTGACAAAACACACGTTTATGATACATAACGTGTTTTGTTCACCATGATAATCTCCATATATAAACACCAATTTGTGATTTTTGGAGCTAAAATGTAATTGCCAGAACCGGAAGCTAACATTGAGCTATTAACAAACTGCATCAAAGTCAAATGACCTAACTACAAACACGTTAAAAGAAAATTGACTTTTAGACGAGTGAACCGGTTCAGGACTCATTCCTGCACCACTCAATACAATACTGAGTGTAAACAATAATGAGTTTTAGTTATTTATGAATGCCAGTAACTGCCACGTGTTTAAAGCTACACCTAATACTGATAAAACCCTAAGAAGGCCTATAGTACATACATATTTGTAAGCATATACCATTGCTTGTGTTATATTGAATATACACAATCAAAAACAAATAATTTTTTCAAAAATGGATATACCTGAAACTTGAAATGAACTCTCGCTGGTTGTTCACTTGGTTCTTTGCTCAGGGTTTTGCTGTCGGCTCCATGCAGGGGAGGAGGGTTGATTTACTTGACAGCTAATTTCGCCCCACAAACATTCTCCTTCATTACGACAAGAAAACTGCATTTGATCTCAAAAGTGAGTCATCAATAGGGCACAGTGAGCCAACTTTCTACCCTGCCCCAAGGTCAGATTCACAGACGATATTGCGCTTATAATATTACAGCAAAAGGAGTGCCATAACGTTCAGCTTGGTGCAATTTGCTTTATTTTGTGGAAGGAGAGGGGGAAAAAAGTATATATTTTCTCGCTTTTATAATACCCCAAATTGTCATTCATGGTTTTCTTTCTTTGTTTTTTTCAAAAACGACATGCAGAGACGCTTTCTTCATTTATTTTTCATCATACAACTGTCCTTACATCCTGTCACTGCAAACCCACAATAAATGAGTTTGAGCGGAGCATGATGATGTCTTCGCCTGGCTACAGTCATGAGAGTAATAATTCCACTGGAGTGAATTGGACCGCCTTTAAGGCTCATGTTATGCCAAATGCCTGCATATGACTTAACTGAAATCAGTGCAAATGTAAAATGTAAGGGTGCATTTCACCCTTTGTGGAGTATTTTATCTTATTTGCACAGGTTTAGTGGTTAGCAATAAGCCACGCAATCCTGTTGTGAAATCGCCCCTTCCTTTAAAAAGACTAAATCCACTCTCCATGGGGCCATCATGGTTCTTTAACAACCCAACGCTTGACTCACTGCTTTGCTTTAAGTTTGAAATGAGGAGGTAACGTCCTCCCAGCATGCAGCACTCTCCCATCAGAGCTGTTTTCTTACTGACTGGCCTCGGGATGATTTCCGCCAGCCTCTTGGTATCCAGCATGGTGATAATCAGAGAAAGCTGGACACCTGAGCAGAGCGTGCCCCATGCAGAGCTTTCCCACAATGCTCAGCTGAAGTAAACAGCACTTGCAGGCTAAGCGAGAAGGGACAGAGGAACACAAAGGCACAGGCTGTCACATCACATATTCATTACCTCAAACACAGCGTTCTCATCTCAAACCAAACAGCCAAGCCTTGTTAGTGCAGACAGAATACACATTGAACAAAGATTGTTTTATAGCTTTGTTGTATTCATCACATGCCATAAGCAGAGAGTTGTTTGCCTTGCTGGATTTTCTTAGCGTGGGGTTTTTGATGCTGTCTTTCTTCTGATTTGTATTAGCAAAACAGGATTAGGACAAACAGAAATAAAACTTTTGAAAAGTTGTAAAAAGTTTGTACTGAACAATCCTACTTGTACTGTATTGGTCCTTTTTCGCCCCTCCTGGATCCTTTGAAATTGTAAGGAATGTATGATGACTTCACTTAGAGCCAGGCCATGATGCTACGCTTTCGGTACTCCAAAAAAAGTCTCAAAGAATAGCTACTGAACATGTTCATAGACTTTCAGTAATTGCTTCATTGGTCATTCCATCACCACGTTGATCACTGGACATTTCTGTCTAATCTGACTTCTCAAAAAACCACAATATTCTGTAAAATGATCCAGAAAATGAAAGAGATTCTTGCTTTCGTGATATTTCCGAAGGCATAAGCATTGTAATGTTCTTCATTGCACAAAAATCTACAATGCATGCATCATCAGTAATGTTTTGTTTCATCTTTATTTCCATATTTCTACGGTAAGGAAACTGTCATTTTGAAATTGTTTCAAATAAATGTATTTTTGTACATCAACGTTTTCGTCGTCTGGGTGGTGATATTCCTGTGAACTGAAGGGTGCAAAGAAGATGATGTTTAATGTGAATATCACGTTTGATCAAACAAAGAAGAAGTAGCAATCTACAGTAATAAGGATAGAAAACTAGCAGCACTGTTCATGCTCTTCCTCGACTCAGACACAAAACATGATGCCAGCTTTCACATTTTAACAGTTCATGGTGAGAGTAGAAGGTTATTACATTAAGCATCGTCGCATAATAGAAGTCAATGACTAAAGTGCTCGACTAAATAAAGACGTTAGCCTAATAATTTCCCCAAAGCTGTATGTGCCCACAATTTTCTTCAACACTGAGGGATTATTATGTGTGCTATCATTCAGTTTTATCTCCAAATAAAGTGGTTTGGATAAACTTTTAGCTTGTTAACTAGCTGTCTGATTACCTAACTAATTTAATTCACTCCAACTTTTGGGTAATTCTCAATGCTTTTATCAACCCAATTTCCTCAAAAGCAGGCAGCTGTTTACACTGAAAAATATCTAAAAGCCCACTGTGAACAGCATCAACCAAAAGACAACATTTACATCTAGCTAGTAAACAGAGGTAGCCATTTCCTTCACAAATTGGTGATGACCAAGAAAAAGCTAACAAGCAAGTGAATATTACCAAATGGGCAGAAACTAGTGCACAATGTCCATTATGTATTCATATATCACCTTTCAAGATGATAATATGTCAGTGTTCTGCTTTGAACTTGTGACATTACCCCAAGTGTCAACAAAAATCCATTAAGGTACGTTTAAATATGTCTCTACATACATCACCCAGAAAAAAACATATAATGGTATTTTTGATAAGATATCTTTTTAAGAATCTCCGGCAACATAACCACACAACCCCCCAATCATCATATTCTGTTTCAGATGTTGCTAAATCCCGATTGGTACATGGAAAAATATGACTTCAAATATTTCCCGAGCCCTACCACTTCACACCAGCATAGAAAAAACAAGTAAAGAAACCATATAAGATGAGAAATAAAATAAAAAGTTCTAACCATTTCCTATTCAATACAGCTCTTGTATCCACTACTAACAACATTAGGAAAAATAAATTAAGTTACGAAGGGCTATTATTGACTTTAAATACATTGAGATGCAGTTCTGTACTGATGTATTGCTAGAATAGACTGCAATCTATGAAATGAAATCTTTGCAGGGGACAGGGTTAGGGTCGGGTGTAGACATGGTTGGTTGATGGCTTTGACCTTGTAGACCCTGTAGTCTCAGGCATGATATGACTGATGGCGATGGAGCAATTACAGGGACTTTTTCTTCTTGGCTCTAATTATAACCAGCGCGATGGTCTTGACCCTGACAAGTAAAGTATTTGACATGATGGCTCCTACACAAGAATCACGATGCAAATGTCCAATCAGCCGAGAACAAAATGATTGGAAGTGAGACATTTGTTGTGCTCAGTATAAAAAAGACTTTTCTCCAGAGAGAGGACAGCTTTGTCATCTCCGGTCTGCCATCCTCCGCTTCCACCCCCCCCATGGGATTACTTTCAACAGAGTATGAAAATACCTCGTCACTTCATAGAGGCCTCGCTCAATTACAGTTTATTTCACATTTTTGAATGTTCTCTGGCTTATTGGAGTTATCAATGCAAGATAGCGAAGCTGGCACAAACAAAAGCCATTTGTCTTTATTCACCGGGGAAGTCTGAGAGCAGCCTCATTATTCTGTGGCTCGAATTAATCTAAGGCCCATGTCTCTCCCTTTCACCTTGGGAGCCTGATACAATGAGTAACAGGCCTCTTAGAATCCTGAACACATACCCCAACCCTCGGTGCAGGTTACTGATAGACCTGTATGTCAGGTGGAGGACAGAGGCACAGAACAACACCACAGTGCAACTTGAAGTTGGGTTCCACTGTGTTGAGCATTATTACGCTTTGATTTGTTCCGTGGTTGTTTTGTAACAGATGATAATGATGATTATTGGTATTTTTCCATCTATAGCTCTATATATCAATATATGTTAAAGATCTCCTATCATGCTATTTTTGGGCATATATTATGGGTCTCAGACAGTGGTGAACCGTCAGGGCCTTCAAGGTATTCAGAGAATACCCTGGAACACTCAGATAAAACAAACAAAAAATCGATTGAATAAAATGTAAATAAAATGAATAAATGAGAATCGTATCTGTGTTGTTGATCTGTAATATTACCGTGTTACGTTGATTTGTTTGTCTTTCTCGGTCCATGACTACACATTTGAGTGGTTTTGTGTGTGTGTCTACAGAAGGTCCAGTTGTGATAGACACGGTTCGCCACTGGTCTCAGATATATACACATACATAAAGAACATGTCTATGATGTGTTTTGCTCCAAACAGGTCATGCATTTTAAACATCCCTCATACCCCTCTATTCAGCCCTGTTAGAGAATTGCTGGGTCCTTAGCTTGAAAAAAAAAAAAAGAGGAGGGGGAGCTTGTGCCTGCTCAGAATTGTACGAGATACAGCTAAATGCTGCCGTGATTAAACGCCATATCATGTTCCAAACCACATCAAGGATTATTTCTGAAACAGTATGGAGCTCAAATGCTTTTTCTCTTGCGGGTTTACCACAAGGTGAGTTCCTTTTTTTATTTCCTGTTTTTTTACACATACTCTCTCCAGTACAGGTTAGCTCTGAGGCCGTGGGTGTAAAGCCAGCCAACATTTCCGATATTACGTCATATCGGAACGCAAATCTGGATCAGCTCCATTGTACCCCCATTTTTAGAGATTTGGGTACGGAGGAAAAGAGACAGGGTTTTATTTTCTGACACTTTGTGAGTTCCCTGACACACCGGGGACACATATTTATGTATAAAGGACATTAAAAGGTGGATTTTGCATGATAGGAGATACTGACCAAATGCAGGAGACTGGAATATTTAACACAAATCACCTTAAATGTGTAGGTTTTCCAGGCAAAGCAAGACAAACAGAACATAACAACATACATATCGCACAACATGCAAGAATCCAACAACAATAAGACAGAGAACTTGGACTGAAATACAAGCTGAATCTAACGAGGGGAAGTGCAGGAGGTCAGCTGTTTGCAGGGCTGATGGGGAACAGGTGCAACTAATTAGGCCACTACAATCAAAAAAGGCGGGAAAACACACTAGGACAGGAAGTAAAAAGAGAAATGACACAGGGGAAGAAAACAGGAACCAGGAAACTGGGATAATGACAAATAACATGATGTAAATAATAGATATGAGGATAGGATACAGAACAATATACAAAGATGGTAACAAAAGCCACATTTTCTTGCCAAGGCACCACACATCCCCTAGCTTTAGCCCCCTCCCTTTCACGTCAAGCTAACAACATCCCCCCTACCCCGAGTTATGATAATGACATTACATACATCACCCTACCATTTCAAGCTATTGGAACAAATTCAACATTCAAGGGGTAGAGTGGTGCAGGAGTGAGTCCCAAACTTGGAAATGCGTTAGCATTTTAGCACTTTGTGGCTCCATGACTTCGAAATTTCATGAGTTTGATTCCAAAAATAAGATATATTTGTTCTAGAACATAAAATATGTCTGTACAGGTTTTTAGGTGTCGTGAAAAACGAGGTTGCTAACAAACGCCAACACATCTTCCGCCTGTAGTTGAGCGCAGTTGGCGCTAAGTCATGTGACCGTCAAGTAGTTTGTTCATGGCATTAAGTAAGATATTTAATTCTGGCAATTGCATTTAGCCATAACTTTTATAAAAGTGGCATTGATGATGATCCCGCTGGACAAAACGTGTTACAATAATATATGTTTGTTTGCCAAAAATCCTACTTTCTGCGATATTCCGATATCCGTTTGAAAAATCCCATTGCTTTTCGTCGAGTGGGTCCTTGGGATGATTACTTCCAGGTCGGCATACAAACACCATCACTGCAACATTCAACAGTCAAACATTACAGTAGTAATAGTTTGAAATATGCTTATGTATCTTATAGCTTAGCAGTACATTTCTGCAACTTCGTATAAAGCTTCTGTAAAGCTGTTTTGTAAGTAATAATCTAATTAATTATAATGTATAGTGTAAGAAATTAAAATCAATGTTTAAATGATGTAATTTAGATTAAACATACTGTAAACTTAAAACTGTTTTATTCTGAAAATACTTCATTTCCAGTTAGCATTAGCTTGTGGCTAACGTTATTGAATGTTCATGTTATATGAATGTACAGTTTTATTTTGAAAAGCTTTATAGAAAGACATCCCCGTTGTTTACATGACGTCACTTCCTGCTTCACGTTATCAATGATTACAGCCGTTAAAATGCATTAAATAAAAAGTGATGAATGAGAATACGAGGAGAAAAGGCGTGTGGAGTTATACAATGAACACACAACGTCTAAATCCTTTTATTTACGCGATATCAGACACAGAAGAACGAGTGGAGGGAGACCCCCATCGTCGAAGCCGCCAATGAGAGGAGGAGCCAGGAATCAGATATAGGCTCGGTCCACGTAGAATCGGTCTCTCTTCTTCACCCTTCTCCGAACATGGTGCTGTGTTCTTGATTTGCCCTGTCTGTTTCAAAACCACGTTACTTCATTAAAGTACACCTTTGAACTTTTTCGGGACTACATTGTCTCCTTTTAACTTCCTCCTGGACTCGAGAACAACGCACAAATCTACAATAGATACAGAGATGTATAAGGTTAACATTACACCCGCTTTAATTTTTGTTCTGAGCTAAGCTAACAAGCTGCTAGCTATATAAGACGTAATCTCAAATAAGGATATTTTCCAACATTTCTTTCTACAAAGGCGGGTTTATTTTTGCACGAAGAAGGTTTTCAGAGTGGGATAATGAATAAACATGTAAAAATACTTACATCGATAACAAACTATACTATACTGCATTAACGTCTATGGTTAGAATGCAGAGAACTACATTTAACAACAGGAAGTGGAGATGAGGTCAGCTGGTGTCTGT